ACTCTCAGTTGTCCCAGGGGAGTAGTGAGCTATTTTTCTTTGCTAACTTTTTAGTTGTTAGATATTGGGTCTTGGGATATCTATATATTTTAGTTTAGTTTTGTTCCCTTTTCTTTCCCCCTTCCCTTTCCCTTGTGAAATTGTATATAAGTGTAAATATATTTATATATCTCACTTTGGTTGTCTCTCTCTCGTTTCGGGTTTTTCTTAGTTTTTTTCTCCCTCTTTCTCCCTGAGGTTTGGGGGGGGGGGACTTCTGGTGGTAAGGTTTGGAGACTTGGCAGGGAGCCAGCTTCAAACCATATCACCTCCTACTGCAGATACTGAACTTCTGCCTTGCTCTTTGCTCTGCCCAACACATGAGGTCCAAAGGCAGCAAAGTCCAAGGTCCTACACAGGACTCAGAGCCTGGAGCCCTACTGGCTTGCCTTCCTTTCATCCCCATCCCCAACAGAGTCTTTCCTGCTCTCATCCCTTCTTAACACCTCCCTGTGTCTCAGCTTGCTCTCCATGGGCCCCACCGAACTATACCACACACATGACAACCTTGCAAAACAGGCTGTATTTAGACATAAACTGCCAGAATGTCATTTGATGCCTGTGAGCTGAAGAAATAACCTCAAAGAGGAAAAAGTCCAGTCACCTTCCCCAGGGATGCCAAGTCACCCAGACAATAAGGAAGACTCCAGTCGTAGACATGATTCTCAGGGCCCAGTCTTCTGTATGGATGCAGAAACTGCCATATGAGGTCAGATCATTTACCCACCTCGCAAAGCAGCATGTCTCTTGCCTGTCTGGATCACTGTCAGAGAGTCCACTGTCTGTACAAATGGACTTCTGCCTTTGGGACATAAAGAATAATCAAGACACAGGAACTTTCTGAACTGCACATGCTTGTGCCCAAACTGCCACACAGATCATCTGCCCCAGAGTCCTCCAGCATGGCATAGGCTGTAAGGCATCCCTTAGGATTCTGAAATGCAATGTTTTTTCATTAAGAAAATAGAAAGGTCATGCCAGTCAGCCAAGCTGCGATTTCTCAAGTACCATCTACACAAAAGACCCCTAACCCTAGATCACCTAGTTCTGTCAAAGATCTTTGGAAGAGCCAGGGCCGCTTGGCTTTTGTCTGCTTCACTTTCGTGCTGAAACTGTTGTGTCCCCAGATCAGCCACATGCATCCTCTGTAAGCAAAATGGCTTTGCTAGTCCAATTTAACATTGGAAGCAATTTGTTACTGTGTCCTGACCTGTTAATTATTGCAGGCACACGCTGCTGCTCTGCTCCTCATTTTGGATACATATAGTATACAGTACTATTGAACAATGCTTACTAATAGTCACTATTTTGGAAGAAGGGAAATAGAGGAGGAGAGATTTGGAAATTTGCCTACATCCCCAAAAGGATTTGCTATCAGAAGCAGAGTTAGTACGTAGGTGTTCACAGCTACACGTCTCATTTTAAGATCACTGACATAATAAGTAAAAGTAGCAATATCTAGCAATATCCTACCACATTATTAGGATAACCGAATTTAAATACAAAAAAACCCTTTTCTTTTTGAGGCCATCCTAATCTTAAAAAGGCAAATTCTACTTTTTCAGCACTACTGCGATTCATAATATTAAAAGACAGGACTAGTGTAGCCAGCCACTTGCAGTATAAGAAATATCAGTATGGTTTATGATTCAAGTTAAATATTATGACACTATGGTTTTTAAATAAAATTATTCTGTTGTTTGTGTCATTAACTGAAGTGCTCTGACAGTCCTCAGAAATTATGATAATCAGAGATCAACACACACTCATGCTGCAGACACCACAAAACATTCTGAAATTCAGGAATTACTGACCATGAACTAGATAAGGTAAACATTTTTATGTCAAGCTACTGAACATATTTTAGAATAACAATACTTGTTTTGACTGAAATATTGTAATATTTATATACTTGAAATAGCAAAGCTTAGGTTTTCCATTGAAGTAATTAATCTCTGCTGTTATCTATTTTAGTCCAAGAAAGGCTAATTTTTATACAATAAATGAATGCAAGTGGAAAAGGTAAGACCAGTGACTGGTGTGTTGGAGAATATTTTTGTATGCTTTTCACAGCAAAGGGTTTGCAGCCAGAATGCTTATGACAAGTAGCCTGTATACAGAATCTGGAGCACTCATTGACTTTCATAGTTTAATTCCTCATTTGTAAGGATAGTTCACATTTCATGTGAGAGTGATACAGCATCCTCAGTTTGAGCAAATAACGTGTTTGTAGCACCATGTAACTTTTTGCATATATAAGAAGAAGCTAAAAATATAAACAGGAGTAGTATAGCTCAAACAGCCTCCTTCTGCATACATCATCAAATAAAATCTCTCACCAAAATTATTACTGTGCCCCTTGGGGTTTTTTTTAGTCATCTGACTTATTCTTGATTTGTAATGAAATGTCCAGGCTGTGATTCTGACTAAGCATGAGTGTATCTGTAAGGGTGTGGAAAAAGGGATTTCCAGACCATGGGTCAGAAGAAAGAGACTGAGGAGGGGGCAGCAGACACAGATGTTGGCTGCCTCTGAAGCTCTCCTCAGGTGCAGTAGCTGACTTTCAGCAGGA